CCATGGTTTCCTTCCATTCGATTGAATTCTCCTGACCGTAGCTCCGGATTTCTTCCTCCACTATCTCGTGTAGCCGATCTTTACACTTCATAGCGACCTAAGAAAAGGTCCACAGGAAAGAAATTGGTTACCCGTGTTCTGGCGAAACAAAAGCTGAAACAACATGGGAAAAGAAAATGAATTTAAAAGCTCGTACATGAGAGCAGCCATGGCCATCAAACACGCCGAAGAAAGAAGTCCCTTCCCGGCCAAAAGATGCCTGCACAGTCACCGCATCTTCCATATCCCTCCTCCTACCACAAACCGAAGTCAAGCCAAATTTCGGAGCCGGAGCTGCACAACTCTGCTCCGGCCTCACAGCTGATTCATTCGCCACCGAATCACCCACATCACCCTCTTGCCCCACGAAATTCGCTCCCCCGCCGCCCAGCCTGGAATTCTCAACGGCGTTATGGCAATCACGCGGGGCCGAGCTACTACTACTCGCACCACCGCCGGAAGGAACGAGCTTGCGCTGTTTCCGGCTGGTGTCGTCGGGGGAGGCCGTCAAATCCGCGGCAAGCGAGAATGAGCGGTGGTCCAACCTCCTCCGCCGTGAAGCCTTCACGCTCGGCTCCACCGGAGCAGCTGCGTCACTATCACCAACAAACCCACAGCAAATCTCGGCCATGTCTAGCGAAAAATCCTCTTCACAGAATCGGAAATTCGAACAGATCACCGCGCGAAAACAATTCCTTTGAATTCGATTCAATTAAGATTATAGAGAGAGGAGAGAGATCCCCGGAAGAGGAAGATGGGGAAGGGTAATAAAATGGCGATGGGGAAGGGGAGGGATGGGGAAGAAGAAGCAGCTTTTTTCGCCTGGGGGTAGTGTGGGGCCCGCAGTACAATATTTTTTCTACTTTCTTTTTTTGAGGGACGACGGGCAGGGGTGCCCGTCACCGTCACGGGCAGCGGAGATCCGACATGGCCAGTTGGAGTGACGTTGATCAATTGAATTGAATCCGGGCAGTAGGAAGGTAAGGGCAAAGGGGGGGCGGGGTAGGACCGATAATTTACAATCTCGGCCGTCCATCGTTCTCTCTCCTCACGACAATCGACCACGTGCACCGGAACTTTTTGGGAGGGTGGGTACGTGGACCAATGAGGGAGCTACACGGTTCGTTGGAGCGACCATCCTTTTCTGACACGCATGTGGTGCTGTACTAGGCGGAGAGGAGAGAGTCTGTGGAAATATTATTGTTTTTCCTTTTTCTTTTTTTCCTTTTTGCTGCGGAAAACTATTTTAGTTTTTTTTCGATTATTATATTGTGGATGATATCACCACGTGGCGGGGATCGTCAAATACGAGATTCGTGTTACATTCGTCCCTCCACGCGTATTACGAGTTTACGACGTGTTGCATCAAACCAAGACTACTGCTGTCTTTCCCTTCCTTCCTCACTCCACAGTTTTACCTTCTTACCTTTTACTTTGTGATGGTAAGTTTTGGTGGGAAGGTGGGACTTGGGACGGTGTTTGGTTAGCGGAATCCAAACCGGTGTGGTTGGCGGCCGGCCGGCCGGCGGTATTGAAATTGGTGGTTTACTGGTTTAAGAGGTTTTTGCGAGTAATTGCTAACCCGCTACGATTAACCCTCACAAAATTGGCCATTTCGCCGGTCCAACCAAGCTCCCATTCTTAAAGTTTGAATCTCGATCTCTAAAAAATCAAAATTAGTAGCACGCTTTTGGAACGAAGTTTTGTATGTTAGGTTGTTAACAAACTTTGTCACTCACTCTTTCTTTCTACCCGAGCTCTCCGTATAAAAGCGGAGATCACCGACGATCTGTTAAATCCGTCTGCAACAATTGAACGCTTGATTGATGAAAATTCTTTTGTATTTTTAGTATGGTATGAGAGCTATACCGAGCTCTCTCTCTTCCATTTTGTCCTCTTTTTTATTTTCTATTATGCTAAATTTAGATTCGTTCACCTATATGACGACATCGATAAATTCTTCATCTCCTTGGCAACGACGGCATTCCTCTGACTGTAATTCTTCACACTATGGATTTCAATATTGACACAACAACGATTTTCAAATCGTACATAATTTTTGAGATCTAGGAAAGACTGAATCCTTGGTGTTATATGAACCATGGAGCTATAATTGTGTACAGATGGTTAACTTTGTTTTCTAATCGTTGTGGATCATTTACATCAGACATATTTGCGGGCATTTTGCAGGCATGATGCTCCTTTTTTCCAACACAAAACTCCTTTTGAAAAGTTCTATGAGCATTGAACAACCACTATGTCTCACACTTGAGGGTTTTTTTATCGTCTTACATATGCCTTCACCATTCAGATACTCGAAATAAAACTGGTTTTAAGAGCACATCTTTGTATTTATCTAGAGCACGTCTTTGTATACAACTTCGTTTTGCTATGCAATTATTGTTTGATTTTTGTTTGAGAAGATGTTTCTTTCCATGAAAATATCTTCTTATTTTGTATTGCTTTCACTTGTTTTGCTCTCAATCTTTATTGGAATAAGATTATCCCGTTATAGCATCCTGTTACACGCTTATTATAAATTCTTATACACGAGCAAGTAACACCGCACCTTTTAATTATACCTCTTCACAGAAACTCCTTCAGATCACAATCCGACTATCCAATTTCTTCCTTCCAATAGTGCAAATGCAAACCCTATTTGACAACTTGTCAAATTGGAAGGCTTCAAATTGATAGTTCGAAAACCAAAACCAATATGTTGAAGTTTCCCTCGACTAGTTTGATGAGATCCCCCACCAGTATAGATTAAACTCAATATTAATGGTGCTTCTTGTGGCAACCAGGGCATGGCAACACCAATAGTATTTTTTAGACATCGCAATGGACAATGGATTGGAGGTTTTTGCAACATAATACGATTTCATCAATTGTCATGGTTGATCTGAGCATTTACCATCTTTCCCGCTACCTAAAGAAAGATGGCTCAATAGTGGTTGGTCTTCAACACTTGTTTCATATAGAGAAGGGAATACGCTCTTAATTATATTGGGACTCAAAGTACAATCTCATCTTATTATCTGGATATATAAATTAAGATACTTTGATCATTATTTTATCAAGATAAATGAGAAAACAATATGAATCTTTAAAAATAGTATGATATTTTTTTCTTTTTAAAATCTACCGTAAATGAGGGCGCACTTGAAAAGAAGGGTGGTCAAGATTGGAAGGAGGGCTACTCCAGTATGATACTTTTGGCTTGTTACGGTCGTTTTAGTGATCTAATGAAAACGGCTACGTAATAAGAGGATATCTTCACACGTGTACGATCATGTCAATACTGATTGACTGTCTTCAAAACGTCCCAGTCACAAAAAAGTGAGTCTTACATATGGCAGGTTATTGATGTTGAAGTTAGTGAACACCTTCATATTCTTTACCTAGATCATTTGTCAGACGAAGATACTTCATGTATCTGAACGTGTTGCCACTTGTCGGGAGTCTATAACTCGTCGTCGATTACGTGGTTTGTTATTATGTAAATACATTAATTTATCATTCTATTTCTGTAAAATATGGCTCCCGTAAATTCCTTTTTACATGATTATGGTCAATATTTTGAGGTTGGTTTGGATGGTCACCAAGAATTATTTTAAATAAGTATAGTTTAGCAAGTCATTTAGTATTCATAATCTATCATTCACAATGATGAAATAAAACGAGAAAAAGTAAATGATTTTTCTTTAGTATAGTTTAGTCTTTAATGCACCAAAATGATGAAGATGACATATATAGTTTTTTCACTTAACAAGGGGAAACTCCATATATTTTAAAGCTAATTAATCTTGGTTGGTCCACTCCAGATACACAAAATATAATTTGTTTAGAAAATGATAGAATAACACCTCTAGCTCGATTCCAACCAATGCTTGTCCAACCTTATTTCCTTATATCCCCTTTAAGCTTAGGATTACAATTACATGTCGCGAACAACTAAGAAAGTATGCAAGTTGATTTTTGAGAAACATGAGAAAAAGAGATTAACTTGATTGTTGTCAAATAATGTGATAACCAATCTCCAAATGTGTGGTCTTTCATGAAAACAGACTTAATAATCATGTAGTATATGAATAAGAGAATGATTGTTAGACAACGAAAATGAACTCATGAATGATGAGGGATATCCACATCATTAAAAAAAAGCCTCCGACCATATATTCTCGAAGATCCAATTACACCAACACCATCCACTTCGCTTAAGACGAAGAGTTCGAAATAGTGGCTTGCATTTAGTTCTCCTAGTGACTAGAGAACTACCGATGGATGTTAGATATAAAGCAACTACTATAAACACCTCGTAAGCACTCGATGGTAACACACTCAATTGAGTGAATCGTTTCATGTTATTGACATTGCCGATGCGTCTCTTGTATATTGGATCATGTTTTTGAGCAACGATGTTAAATGTTATATATGTTAATGAAATAGGGTAAGGGTAGCATTCGTTTTCAGTAATAAAATTATAAAAAAAAATTGTGTTAACATTGATCTACAAAATTGTATGTAACATCGTAGTAAGGAAACAAGGCATGTGAGTCATTTACCACAGAGGGATCATATCTAGTTTATGTTTGCTGTGATATGCCATGGATTTCAGCGAAATGATGAAGCAAGAAGGACTGAGTTTTTAATGGACCATTGAATTTGAACCTGCAAACTTCAATGAAGTCATGCATGAAAAAGGTTTGTTGTTCGCTAGTGACAACTTGCCCTGGATTCCTGGTGCACGATCAAGATATTTATGAGTCTTTCAATCTTTTTCACCCTTACTCTGCATTCACCTTATTCATAAAAATCATGTTTGCAACTTATAATTATAACTTATCCAAAAGAACTTGTAAGTTCTACAAAACATAAGAATGCTATGTAAAGAACTTAGCTGATTGAGTGTACAACATCAACAATGACAGAGTCGGAAATTTGAACAAAATGGATAAATTAACCATGCTTGAGGAATTTGAGAGGATTCTGCTAAGGCTTTGACAGGAGATAGACACAACATACTAATCCAAATTCAGCTGGAGGTGTTCTTGGACATAGTTAGTAAATACTCCGTTTAATACACGTATATGTACCCGTACGTACTTTATCCGTTTAAAACTTCCGTATCCGTATTATTGTCAAACCGTTTCATTAGTTCCGTTCATTTGACGGCTCCCGTACTAAAAACGTATAAAACCCGTATAACACGTTTAATATCCGTATTTAATAAAATAAATTAATAACTTTACTATTTTTTACATGTTTATTTATTTATAAAAATAATTAATTTTATATATTTATGACTATTAACGTACTATTAAATGTAACATTAGCTAAGAGACGAAGTATAATACCCGTACGTATTTTATACGTAACTTTTCCGTACCTTATTTTACTAACTATGTTCTTGGGTAGCAACAAAATAAAGAATCCATGAAAGATTTGGGGACTGAAAGTGAAAACGATTTCTAGTGAGCTGGGTCTGGTGGGCATGCTTGAGGGTTTGGTGAAAGGTGAAATCATGAACGATTCAAATCTTGCATCCAAATACCAACGAATCGAGATCATCAAAGCTTTCCCACCGAACAAGAAAACTGAGATCAGGGCAGAAATAATTTTATTCATTACTAGCCAATTTAGATCCCCCAACATTTGATAGACCTAGAATACCTACAATGCAGATTGGAAAAAAAAAAAAGCAATCATATTTGATTTAAGAAGATGCTGCTGCCAGTTTGTTTCAATCTAGGTTGATTGGAGGATTGAATCCATTCACAGTCATTCCTCCATCCACAGAGATGACTTGTCCAGTGATGTATGAAGCTGCTGGCAGGCACAGGAACCCCACCAAGCTCGACACTTCGTGAGGCTCTCCCACCCTCTGGAGCGGCGTTCTTGCCACTATCTGCTGCAAGAAATCCTTCTTCTCAAGCAGCTGCAAAACCCAGAATTCAGAACCCAGCATTAACAAACAACCCGAAACTGTCATGGCCACGAAAGGAGAGCGCCGTAGGAATTTTACTTACATGCTCAACGAGGGAAGTTCTGGTGTACCAAGGAGCCACGCAGTTAGCCCTGATGTTGTCCTTTGCCCACTCACAGGCCAGATTCTTGGTCAGCTGATTGATTGCGCCTGATGCAGAGGAAAAAACAACAGAGAGAAAAAAAATTAGGAATGCCGGGTGACATTCAGTCAGGACTTTTATCGAACGGTTTGCGGGCACGACTCGACCGACCTTTGGAGAGACCATAAATGGAGCCGCTGCCAATGTGGAGAACCCCGGCCACCGACGAGACGAAGACGACGGACCCAGCTCCGGACTTCTTGAGAAGCGGGTGGGCCAGCTGGCAGAGATGGTACGACGATTCCAAATTCACGGACATCAGTCTCAGGTATTCCTCCGTTGAATACTCTGTTGTCGGCTTCCTCACGTTCGTCCCAACATTGTTCACCTGTCCGCCGAATCCAATCCAATCAACAATCGAATTCGATACTCGATTCGGAACGGGAAAAAAAAAGTTTGTTGACTTACGAGGATATTGAGAGTGCCATTGTAGATCTTGCCAACTTCCTGGACGAGCTTCTGTCTCTCGGACGCCGACGACACGTCGCAGACCGAGCCGGTGACGGAGAAGCCTCTCGCTTTCCATTGCTGTAAGCAGTGGTCGAGCTCCGACTGGTTTCGCGAGCACGTGTGGACCTTCGCTCCCAGCCCAGCTAGTTCCTCCACAGTCGCACTCCTGAAAAAAAAAAAAAAACAATAAAGCCCAGCCCAAACTCAAGCCCATATCTACTTTAGCAAGCATGACACATTTAACAAACTAAAAAGAGTGGGCTTTGGGCCCGAAAAGTTGGATATTTTCAAATTCTTGGTCCCCTCTTCCTAGAATCCTGGAGAAGGGGACAGAGGAAGAAAGGGAAATGAATCGGCAGATGAGATCCATCCATCCACCATCACATCCGCCGCTCTCTCTCTTTTTTTTTTCTCCCCAGCGTCACGTACGTCGTACCTTCCATGCACGATCAGATCGCCGCAATTTTTTACAGCACGAAATATTGGCGATGAATCGTAGAGATATTAAAGGGAATTAGAAGACGGAGGAGGAGGAAAAAAAGGGTTTACCCGATGCCGCGAGTGCCGCCGGTGACGAGGGCGGTCATGCCATGGAGAGACCATCTGGCGGCCGGCGGGGGAGAGTTGTGGTGGTGGTGGTGGTGGCCGTTGGCAGTCGCCATTTGGGATCTCGGAGCTATTGTTGTTGCGTAATTAATCGGAGAAGAGGAATTTAGATTTGGTGGAAGAATGAATATGGAGGGAGGGAGGAGGGTATATATAGAAGCGCGAATTAGACACGTAACTTTTGAGTTGGTAATATAAAGGTAAGGACGAGCGTTACACATGGATGCCTCATCATCATCAAATCCTTATCGAGAGAAACTACCAAGGAAAGAAAGAAAGAAAGCAAAATTAGGGTTTTACTTTTCTTTTTTGACCTTCGAGGAAGAGTGATTAACTGGGGAAGTTCATTTCTAATTCTCCTCTTTCCTTTCTTTCTTTCTTTCTTTCTGCTAAGGGGTGCGTCAAAGGGGCGTATAAAAGCAAGGGGGTTGGGTCAGGTCACGGCTAACGTACCGATTAGAAGTCGAAATCGAGTTTTGGGAGGGCCAATAGTAGCATCTGGGGGCGGTTCCAACCGCAAATTGGCCGTAACCGCAAATTGGGAATACGGCCATTTCTGTTTGGTTTTGGTCAGACAAAGTAAGAACTGAGGTTACTTTCAAGTTTCAACAGGTGGCCGCCGACTACCATTTGGTGTCATCGGTCGAGCTCCAGCTCGATGCGAAAAAGTCTCATTCCAAAGTGTCATTTGGTGTCTCCTATACCGCACAACATGCATTGAAAGAAGCAGTTCTGCAATTTTTTATTTTTATTTTTGTTTTTAGTGATATTAACGGAGGATAATAGTTAAACTTACAATTCTATCCAGAACCTCTAAAAGACTCTAAAGAAGCCATCCAAAAAAATCAAAAGATTCTAGCTCTAAACAGACAAAAGCAGTGCTTTACGCGCCACTCTATGGGCAGCACTGCTGGCGGGCCTAGGTACCGCCCTAAACTCTATACAAACAGACAAAGAGCTAAGGATCTGATGACACTCTCGTAACACCGGACCACCAATCGAGTCTTCTATGAAATGGCCTGTAAAATTACATATAAAATTTGTAATGAATTTATGAAATGGAGTAATCGGTAAAGCATTAGCCTTCCTTTCCAATTACCACCCGTGTCGGAGCCACGTTATTAATATGAGGGGCTATAACCCCAATATTCAAGTCTTAAAATTATGTAAATTTACATGTAAATTTTGTAACGAATTTGGAAACAAAGTAGGTGGTAGTAATGCTTTCGAACGTATTTGATGTTATTTATTTTTTGGGTTCCTGGTTTAGCCATTGATTATTAATTACCACAATTCAAATTAACCCCATTCATTCATATATGTGATTTCGCCAATGGAAACTAGTACATAATTTCGAAATTCGGCCCGTACGTCGTAAAAAAAGGTTATGTAAGATGACTATAATTAAGAGCAGGGGAGAAATTGGGCCAAACCCAACGCCGACTGTAGAATACCCTAAAATATCCAACCTTACATGTCAAGTTACAAACCTAGAATGACCCGACCCCTATTTCACCTTGACCCTGCATGACTGGCCGCCTGGGTCAGGCTGAACCAAGTCAGCCAGTCAGACCAAATCAACCCAGATTGACATAGGATTTAGTAATGAAGAAGTTCCTTCCTCGATACAGAAACCGTAGTGATGATCACCATACACTGTCCATCCAAATCAGAGGACAACGATTTCAGCAGCCGAGGGGTAGATTTCGTTCGGCTCTAAGGCGAGGTTTTGACATTTTGCATCCTTTTGTCGGGAAACAACAAAGCTAGATAAAAGTAACGATGCACTTATGAGGACATAAAAATTGGTTTGTAATTATTATAGCTTTCATCGTTAGTTTCATTACTTTCGTCTCTCGTACCACATGTACAATCCATGCATAAAAAGGAATGACACTTTTGAGAACGTGGGTTGGCCGAGAGCGACTCTTGAAGGCATGTGGTGGTCTTGTTTTGGCAACGGCTGTAAGCTACTCACCCGTCTCGGTCTATATATCATCATCCATGATTTATCCATCCTTGAATCAACATGCATGCTCTCAATAATTTGAAGTGTTGAGAGAGGTTTAATTATCCATTATTATATATAATTTATTAACGTATTTCCTCGAACAAAAGCTCACTCATAAGTGCTTAAAATTTCCGGACATATCATAATATTGTGTGCATGCTTAACAAATGAGGTCACCACGATTCAGACATAAGAACTCTTCATCACAGAAGACTCTGATCCAATTTCAATAACTTTTTTTAGAAATATTTTCTGCTTATATTATTAGTGGGAAATGTTTAAACATAAAGACTCTTCTCTAAGAAGAGAAACCAAAAAGACTGGTGGTCTATCCACCCAACATTCATCCTCCTCCCAATTGCAGGCTATGTGTGTCATACAATGGGTTGATCGATTATGGGATCTATTGATATGGGCCCATTCAACCCATCTAAATCCCCGGCCCATCTCTTTAATGTCCTTCAGGATCTGACTCACTTCTAAAATTGACTCCGCTTGGCCCGAAATCAATCTCTCCACCCGCTAGCAATCGGTCTGGATAGCTATGGAGTGCAGCTGGAGAAGATGAGCCATCTCAAGACCAAACTTCACCGCCATGACTTCCGCCTCAGCTGCCTCCCACTGTTACCGGGTTCTTCTTACCGTCGCCGCCACAAACCACCCATCTTTTCTTCTAATGATCACTCCCATCCCTGTTCCTTGCTCCGGAATACAACCAGCATCCACAGATATTGTAAATTTCGCCAATTGAAATGGTTTTCACCCTTCATTTCTCCGATCCGGCTCTTCCTTTCCCTCCTGCAACTCCAGGTACTCTCTCAACCATTCCATCGATTTAAAGATAATTTCCTATTCTTCCAATTTGCGCTTATTCCATAACTGGCTATTCCTTTGTTCCCAGATGAACCAAAGGGCCACAACAAATTTCCTTAGCTGCTCGTCATTCTCCGTTTCGTGCAGGCTACAAAACCGCTCCTCGCAGGTAAGCTCCTCACCCTTCTCGAACAATAGATGCATGTCAGTAGGCCTGGTCACTCTCCGCACCCACGCACAATCCTGGAAAATGTGTTTTTGAGTTTCTGGCAAATCACAAAACGGGCATCCACCATTACCTCGTTGTGTTCTTTCCATGATTCGCTTTCCCTTCGGTAGAATATCCCTTATCCATCTCCAAGCAAATAGCCTTACTTTCGGGTGTAAGTTCAACTTCCAGAAGCGATCCCAATTAACTGGTGTATATAGCTCTCCCATCTCCTCTTCGTCCTTGTTTTCCCACTGTCTATATCCCGATTTCACTAAGTAATCCCCTGTTTCCAGACTCCATACCCTTTCATCCACACATAGTTGACGAGGGATCGGAACCTTTTGAATCTGTTTTCGATCCTCAGGAAGGAAGTATGCCTGTAGCAAGTCATGCCTCTAGATTCTATTGTCAATATCCATCAATTTCGCTACCAAAGTAGTGTTTCCCACCCTTGAGACTAGGGATTTCATCTTAAAACCTTCACCACTAGGAAGCCATCGATCTTGCCAAATGTCGATACTATTCCCATTCCCAACTCTCCAACGAAAGCCCTTCTTTATCAGCTCTTTTGCTTCCATTAACACTTTCCACACGAAGCTTGAATTCCATCCTCTTTCTGCCTCCAGTATGTCTTTATTTGGGTAATATTTTGCTTTCATAACCCGGGCAGCGAGAGAATTGGGTTCCTGCATTAGCCTCCATAGTTGTTTCCCTAAGAGAGTCGTATTGAAACACTTCAGATCTCGAAATCCCAAGCCCCCTGCTTCTTTGGTCTACTCACTTCTTCCCAACGTAACCAATGTGTCTTATTTTCCCTCCAGTTGTTGCCCCCACTAGAAGTTGGTAATTAGTCTTTGAATTTCTTGTATAACACCAACAGGAATCGACAAGATTGACATGGCATAGGTCATCTGTGATTGAGCCACAAACTTAATCAAAACCTCCTTTCCAGCGATAGAAAGTAGCTTGCTCTTCCAATGTTTTACCTTGTTTCGAACCCTATCCACAAGGTATCCAAAGGCCGCTTTCTTTCCTCTTCCCACACTTTTCATTTCTAAGCGATAGAAAGTAGGTACTTCTCGTGGAAAGGCACACTTTTCATTCCTAATATCCCAGCTTGCTCTTATATTCTTTCCATCTCAATATTGGGACTAAAAGATAGTTCTGATTTGACCACATTAACCTGTTATCTTGACTCCTTCTCATAGAGACAGAAAATTCTCTTCAATTTCTGGCTCTCTTGTTTGGTTGGTTTTGTAAAGAGGATACTAGCGTCCACAAACAAAAGGTGAGATATTTTAGGAGCTCCCCTCTTTACTCTTATCCCTATGATTTTCCCTTCCTCCTCTACCTTCGATATTAACCCAAACAGGCCCTCTGCCACAAAGAGGAAAAGATAGTGGGAGATTGGATCCCCTTGTCTCAACCCCCTAGTGGGTTTGAACCAATCGATTTTATGATCATTCACTATAAGGCTAAAATAAACTGTTGAAACACACGCCATGATCAATTGAACCCTAGCTTACTCATAATTGTCTCCAGAAATCCCATTCCACTCTATTGTACGCTTTAGTGATGTCCAGTTTAGCTGCCATCAGTCCACTCTTTCCTTTCATCTTTTGTTGCATAATGTGAAAACACTCAAAAGCCACCAAAACTAGAATTATTCGGAGAACTTTCATGAGCGAAGCAGCTTCAATATTACCCTCCTATTTGGCTCTCATAATAAAATTTACATCGTTCATAAAAAATATATCTTCTCAACTGAAACCCACATATACGGGGTTGAAGTTTGTACAGGTCTGAATGCCATGCGTCAAAACCAGCTGATCCCAATAACTTGAGTTGTTGGGAGAAGTTCCATGATTGATCTTATACCACTAGGGATGGGAATGTGGCGGGTTTGTCTAAACCATCCCCATCCCCGCTTTCAAATATCCATACCCATACCCGCCCCTTACGGCATACCCATGTGAGGGAAGATTTTGCAAACACATCCCCATACCCGTGGGTTTCGGGTACCCATGAGTAATACCCGCCCTGTACATCTAAATTATAATACCTAAAATTTTATATGTACTTTTTTAATTATAACACTAAATGCACTTATTTTATATATCATGAAGTCGACAAAAAGACAATCATTTTTAATACGGTTCAAAGCAACTTATCCTACAACATCTATTAATCTATAAGATAAAGTACAATGTAATCCAAATCATTATTCTCTGACTCTGATATATCTATTACGTAATTACTAACTAACATACTCTTGTTAACACGAGGGAAAAGTGAAAGAGTGAAGAGAGAGTTGCGGAAAATAAATTAGGTTTTTATTTGAGTGAC